CGTTTGAAGAACGAATTAGACAGAAATCAATTTTTACTTGGTAATAATAATGAATGGATTAATCCGGATATTTAAAGTTTTCAATTCGAATACCTGTAAAGGTATGTTCAGTCATGCGGTTCAATAGAGAGATAGAGAGTTGTTTGTTAAGGCCAGTTTTGGACAAGTGCAACTGGTAACACGTTCAAAATCATGCAGAATTATTAGATTTTATGAATCCAACTTATATTTACATTTTGTTATTTAATAATTTATGTATTGTTAATACAGTAAAGCTGCTGCGTGTCGTTGCTAGTCCATTAAATGTGTTGTGTTCTTTATTATTACTGATTTGGTATCAGGAATGAATACGTTTTAAGGAGGCTGGGGGGTCAACAAATTAACCACAAATTAACCACCAGATTTAACTTAATTTTTTTTTAGATATGATATCTTAAGCTGTCAACTATCATTTGGCAAAGAAAAATTTCAAAAAATTTAGTTTTAAAATTTGATCATTTTCTATATCTTCATATGGAGCTCTTCTTCTAAAGGAGATCAATATAGTCTAAAAATGGCCACAACCCCCAGCCTCTTTAAAGGAGAAGTATACATATGCACTGGTAATAAAGCTATGTTTAGAAAACGGAAAATATTTACGCATTTTCATGCTTTGCAACATTACTTCTGCTTAAAATACATATGCGCATCTTATGTAGTCATATGAAACACATGAAAATTATAAAAATTAGTAAAATTAGCAACAAGTCTTCTATCAGTTTGTTTACATATCATGAAAGGGAAAAAGAAATACATTGAATTACTAAGTAAAAAAAATGCATACATACATGTACGTACATAAATAATATTTATTAACGAAATGAAAAAGCAAGTAATGAAGATACATGTAATATTTCGTTTTGTAAAATATTTATCTCCACTTTAATTTACCAATCATGTATCCTACCAAGTTTTGCTTTTATCAGGTTTTGTGTTTATCCTGTTCTACGTTTATCAGATTTTGTGTTTATCGGCTTTTGCGTTTATAGTGAAAACTGTTAATCTTGTCGGACCCTGTGTGACTTCTATTGTATCTTGCATGTATCCTATCGTATGGTATAAAGGGGATGAAGGACACATGGTCACATGACTCTGTTTAACTACGTCATAGTCTCCGTTTATATAAGTGCAAAACGTGTAAACCATCAGTTCCTGTAAAAAAAAATTGACAATTTGTTTTACTTTAATTACCATTTTTTATAAAAATTTTTAAAAAAAATATAACATTCATTGTAAACTTTAACAAATTGCGGAATATGTTGTTCCACTCCTCTGTTTCCTTATGCTGCGCGTCCAACAAGTCGGTGACGTCATACAAGATCTGATAGTACAGCAAGATCAAACTCGGTGAATACACTGGCATGATTATTATGTAAAAAAAAAAGGTCATAATCAGTATATGATGAGATATTTTGAGAACTGGGGAACATAAAAATTATTTTTGCATTGCTGATGACGGAAATCTTATGTAGGCATATCTTATTTGGCTTATTAAGCTTTCCTGTGACGTTATAGTTGGTTTTTCCAGTACTCGAGAAATATAAACATGACACGCTTTGGTCATGCTTATGTCTTGTTTAATTAACGATGTCTCTTACAATATTGAGGTCAGCTTCACCATTCGATATTTTTACAGTTAATCAATAAAATGGAGGACTTGCATTTCAACGTAAATTTTCAAATATTGAATGATAGAATTTTATGCAAATTAAGGTTATTGTTGTTTAAGTTGTCTTTAAAAGTACGTAATTTTCCTAACCCAGATGCAGTGTAATAGAAGAAACTTGTTTTTTTTTTTTTATATTTAAACCCTATTCATACTCTAAAATATTTTAAAAGATACATGTCCATTGACATATTTTTTATCTATGCTTGAAAAATCCCAGTATGGACAGAGTAATAGGCCCGAAAACATGTAGTATCAAAACTCCACTTGGACACTGTAGGCCATAGTATTTGTCAATCAATATCTCTAAAATGAGGTAGGAAACCTAATAATTTAACTGCTTTAAGATATGAGGGACATACTAAATAAGAAATATACAGAATGTGAGAAAAAAATTGAATGACAAGTATTTTTTCAGCTGAAGGTCCTTCTTCCCCTTAAATATGGAGATATCAAACAGTAATCACGCTCAAAAGTCCATTAAAGCAATACAAATCGGGAGCAGAGGAAAAACCTCTAAAACATCAGGTTTATCATAAAAGTTTTGTTTTTAGGTTACCAAATACGTCTTTTTCCAGTACAATATCCAAATATGAAACAGATGTGTCAGACTCGGTGGTATCTCTTATTTCAATTCCACTGGGCTATATCGAGTTGACATATCAATGAAAGGAACTATTATTAATTAATGATAAGTCGTCTGTTACAACGCACTTTGAAAAATTACGCACTTTGAAATTTTTTTTCAAAGTGCGTTAATTTTGGGACAACGTTAACGCACTTTGAAAAAAAAATATATCTTTTCAAAGTGCGTTAATATCGACCATATTAACGCACTTTGAAAAAAAAAATGTGCACGGCTTGGTCAATATTTTTGCAAATTTTAGGTATGATAAATAATTATTTGAACCTGGTTGGATAACTTTTCGGTGATGACGTCAGGATCTGTTATATAGACTTTTAAAAATTTTTAGGAGTTGTCTTTTTTCCAAAGGTTCTCGTAACTGTTATAAATGGGAAATGGGTCTTAGAAATAATGGAGGAATGATTGTTTAACAGCACAGTTTCGTTTCTTTTTTCTTTTTTTAATATTTTATCCAGTCTCTAATAAGTTCGGTAGATGCAGGTGTCGATAAGTGACTTAAAGCATCGCATATTTCTTATGGAAAAGGGAGCAATTATGATTTTTCCATACCATGAAAATTCTCTCTCTCTCTCTTATCTATTTTTCTATCATATTCATCTATCTATCTATTGTGAACATACATGAATATGAAACAATGGTTGACTCATTTATTTGATAGTAAGAAAATAAACCTTAAGTTAGCCACATTACTCACTCGACTGAAATTTTTACCTCGTTCACTAATAACTTTTTCTCAAAAAAGTTATGAATGTAGTCGGATTACTTCTAAATCTATAATTTGATATCATAAAAACCCTAGACATGTCAAATAGCATGTTTTAATTACCATGTAAATGCATTTTTTCTTCGGATTCATTGTGGATACATTTTGAATAAAGGTTATGCGGGTCTCTTCTTTAATATAATAGGGTGCGAAATTTTTTTTTTCAGGAAAGCTTATGTCAATTTTTTTTTTTATCTATTTTACGTTTACTCAAATTTATTGAGAGAAATAATATCAATGTCATTAGGGCTGTGTATTGAGCGAAAAAAATCAATACGATACGATACAATATTTTATAATGCGATATCCGATATATTGGATTCTTTAACAAGTCTATCAAAAAAATCTTATAAATCATTTAATGCATGAATTAAAAAAAAACTTATTGTTTTATAATCCATTTCAAAGTTCTTGTCTCACTGTCATTACAAATTACATTTCAAATTCAAACTTTTAATGACTGTGAAATCAATGTGTTAAAATAAAGTTGTCTATGTATTTTGTAATATTTATCTAAGATGTGCTATCTGCTTAATGATTATATCATTATTGATCAATTATTGATCAATTTTAATTCAAAACAGTGAAAATATAACCTTTGGTGATTGAAATTCCCAACTTTTTCACAGAATTATCAGAAAATCTGCCTGTCCGATACGTATTGGAAGTTATTTTTTTGATACGATACATTCTTAAATATCGATACGTATCGATATATTGATACAGCCCTAAATGTCATACCAGTTATGTAAATACATATATTTGTGTAGGAAAGATAGAGAGTTGGGCTGACGGACTTTTTACATGTCTTCTCCTCGTTCTCGATGAGGGTAGATCAATTCATCAGTTTTTCGGAAGAAATATAACAAATTAATGCTGTCTATTATTAAAATCTAAGTCCAGAATTTTTAGTTTTATACGTAGTTTTTCAAAGTGCGTTAAGTGTTTTCATGGTAAAAAATGTTGATGTACACTCTTAACGCACTTTGAAAAAAATTTCAAAGTGCGTTGATTTTGGACAAAATTTAACGCACTTTGAAAATTTTTTTCAAAGTGCGTAATTTTTTCAAAGTGCGTTGCCACAGTCGTCTATATATCTAAATATCGATTTGAAGGCCACGGCAAGTGTTTTCTTCTTCTCGTGTATGTTTTTGAAAAAAATCTGCTTCACATAAATACAAAACTAGGTCTGCTAATAACGGAACTCCATTAGTACCCATGGGAAACCTTACAGATTGTCGGAAGACCTGATATAAAAAAACTACATAGATATTGTCAATCAGAAACTCAAACATATTTTTAATATCTACTTCAGAGGACTTTTGTGTACAATCAGAATACTTTTTAACAAAATGATTTTGCAAATAACCAATGGAAAGGTAAGTAAATCTACGAGTTCCATTTTTATTAAAAAAGCAGCTGTTTATGATGTCAAAAAGCCTGGACTTTAATATTTTTGTATCCTATCCTATCGTATATCATGTGAAGAATAACGTTGCAGGTACTGTAATAGCAATTCAGTAAAAGTAGAAGATACTCATACATGTACAATCATTTTCCTACTGACGACTTCATTTTTGATTAGTTGTATTGAAAGATACTAAAGAGTTATGTTATTGAATGAAAAGAGGAGAAAAATTAATAGAAATTAATGGTACTGGCAAAATTATGCATTTTTGAGAGGCCCAAAAATGCACTGAATCTATATACTCCATTTACTATAATAGCACTGTCTTCTAGTTAATGGAAAGGAAAAGATGATTTAACAAAGAATATCCTTACATGCAGAAACTTTCTTCTTTTACTATATTCTTTATGATTATTTTGGGTGTGTGTGGGGGAATGAAATTGGACATCATGATAGTACTTCATTTAATTTAAAAAAGGAAGCCATTGGCTGAATGAAATCGTGCCCCGCCTTCAGAATTCATGTCTGGACACCCCTCACAAAATGATAGACACCTTCCTAGAGTATATGCCAGATCTACAGGAATTGGAGAATCTTCCTTCGCCTCGAATAATGACTTCCAATATCCCAGTTAAATATATTCCAAAGGAAAACAATGGGAAAATTATCCACTCCATTCGTAACCCGAAGGATATTGCAGAGTCTGCTTTTTATCATTTCACAAACAACGAAATAACCAAGGACTACTGGCTTCCAAAATGGCCAAATTTCTTGGACGATTTCTTACGTGGGGGTAAGTTGAAGTCATTGTTGTTTTCTGACAAGATCAAATCGTAATCATATGCATTTGACCATTAAGATCACAGTGGTGCAATTACTAGTTTCAATATTCTACCAAAAACAAAATTACTAAGAACGCATGAATAGATTACCCGAGAAATTATAAATGTCATATATATTCTTTGGTGAGATACTGCTATTCATTTAATATTTTATTTAAACAGAGATTTATTACGGAAGTTGGTTTGAACGAGAGAAAGAGTGGGAAGAGGCAGCACGACAAAATCCCGAAAAGATTTTGATTGTTTATTATGAAAATGTTAGGAAAGTATGTTCGACAAGAAACTTTTTGTATTTACTTCCCAAGGCGTACTGTTGAACTTCATGCCGTTTATTCTTCAAAAGATACTGAACCTATGTTTGTTTTAATGTTTACTGTAGAATGGTACGGAGACGGTGCGACGAATATCCAATTTTCTTGGAACCTCGTCCGATCCTACATTTCTTCAGGCTGTATATGAATGTACCTCTGAGAAAGTAAAAGAAAGAGAAAAGGATTCAAAGTGGAGCTTTATCTACAGAAAAGGTTAAAACATAAAATACTCTGAATCTAAATTGAAATATCTTTAAAGTTATAAATCCAGTTGCTAAATATAAAATGTAAAGAAAATAACTAGTATACATTTTTTTATATTACACGTTCCGTATTTTTATATTACACGTTCTGTATTTTTGTATTCATACCACAGAAGAGGTTGGTGACTGGAAATCGGTGTTTACTGAGGAACAGAATAAGAAGTTTGATCAGGTCTTCAATGAAGAAATGAAGGACTCAAAATTAAAAATTCAATGGGAGTAAATGGTTTTGAACAATGTTCAAAGACTTTTGTGCATTCATTGAATTTGCTTCGCATTTTAAACTTATAAAGGATTCTTTTTTATTCCCCAATAACCAGTATGAACAAAATATTGTTTTATTTGAACTATTGAAAGCAAAAATATGAGTTGCGTGTGATTTTTTTGCAACACATGTACTGAATAAAATGGAGAAAAAAATGAATAAAAGGAAATATTGTTAAATAAACTCAAGGTTATCATATAAAGAGACGTAATCTGCATTCTTTCTGATCATTTTACAAAAAACGCCAAACCACAACGTTAAGAAAGATAAAAACCAGTTCTAACTTGATCACAAATACATGATATCGCTAACAAAGAAGGTTTTAATAAATTATTTTATTTGTATGTACACTAAAGTTTTATAAATGTTAAAATTCAGCAGTAATTTTTTTTTTAAAAAGTCTAGAAAAAAGAGCTTACTATCTGAAAAATTTATTTGTTAATCTTATGTGGACTCTTCCTCTTGTCATGAAGGTTTATGAAGCCTTTAAAGCATTTATGTATATTATTTTGCCAATATATTTGCAAATGTTCAATAATATTATGCAGGAGAATAAAAGTGTGTTTTTGAACACACTTATACTTTCTTTAGTTGATTTAATTGAGAGGACTACTGTAGATCCATTATTTTACGCAAGTACTTCATATCACGAAATTGATCTGGCCAAATCGCGAGGACAGTAATTCGCGAGTGGCCGATTGATCAAGATATTTTACATGGATTTCAGCCCCATAAAAATAAAGCGAGTAATTTTATTTTGCGAGTGGTGCTTCTCGCAAAATTATGAGATAATTAATTCGCGTACATTCAGGAATCTACAGAATGTAGTTCCGCCTGGTTAATTAAGCTAGTCTCTTCTGTTTGATCCTTATCTAATATTTTTTTAAGTTTGAGGATACCTCTTTCATCCAACCACAGTCACTTTTATCTGTCACTATGTGTCATTAGAATACAAAAAACAGGTCTGCTTATAAAGTAGCTCAATGTGTGACCATTGGGATTCAAAGAGATTGCTGGAAGAGCTGGTCTCTTAATACATCAAAGAAATTGTTAATGAGGAACTCCAACATCTTGTAAAGTAGGCGTACTTTTTTTTTTTTTTTTTTTTTTTATTTTATTTTATTTTTTTTTTATAAAATCACAAAAAAAATTAAACAAAATAATTTATTAGATGATTTGTTAGTTAATAAGAAAATTTCTAAGCTATTTTTTGTTGAAAAAATAGTTATCAATGATGACAAAAAATCTTGAAATACATATTTTGATGCCGTTGTTGATTGTAAAAAAAAATGTGATTTCGAATTCTCTAAAAGTATTGATTTTACATGTACACAGCAGTCTATATACGGTGTTGAGCACAGTGAAGCTTAAACGGTCATTGTATTGTAAAAAGCTCTTGAATTATATTCCCCGCTACACCCGAAAATGCAGTGCTATATGCTACCCTCAAAGAGTTGAAAGGCGATATGTTATAGAGTTTTCTTCACCCTGATAAGTAAAGTTATCAAATCAGGACATTTAATGGTCTAATTTATTGATCATTTATGTACTGTAAGATAGCATGTCAAAAGTATCATTTTATCTAGTAAATGAATTTATATATATAACTCCAAAAAACACAAAGACACTTAAAAGATGAAATGTTTGATTGCAATGATAATATAATTCTGAAAGATGGTTAATCTTTGTGAATATGTATGAGTTTCGTTAATTGAGGAACTCATTTTTTTTTCATTGAGCAGATATGCTCCCTGCAATACAAGAAGCGACCTGATTTTCAATTAGTTACACACATGTTACTTTTATATAAAAATGACGATTTATCAAAATCGCTCCTGATACCACCTTTGGTATTTCCAGGTTTTTTTTTTTTTTTTTTTTTGCCCTGTTTACATTTTGTGTGGTTTGGCAGATTTATCAGAAGGCGTTTACAAATTTTCAACTTTTTCACGTACAAGATGGGAAAATGGGACCGTCTCGCTACATGTTTTTTTATTATGTATCGTAAACTAAGTCGACTGAGTCAGGAATTACATTTTCGGCAAAGATTCGGCATGTAGATTGAATTGCATATGTTTTTTTTTTTTTTTTTTTTTGGTAGTAGTATGTCTGTAAGTTATAATTAGATATTGTAATTTAAGGAAATTAATCAACATTGAATAAATCATAAACCTATGTATAAATTAGAGAAGAACCCAGAAGAAGGAGTCCATGCAATGTGATACTAGGTAAAGTATTATTTACTTCCTTGTCATGCTAGTTTCTCATCCGTTGGGCATTTTAGATGTGTTAAATTTGTAAATTTGTTAAAACAGGAGTATGGACTGTGGTTGAGACTTCCTACTCGCTTGGAAAAGTCAGTTCATCTACACTTTATGTGTATTTATACAGCTCAAAAACTTTTGCTTAGTTTTTTTATTTTGGTCAAGTTTTTGTTATTAAATGTCAATTAGAAATTTGTTGGCATCGATCACGGTCAAAGTTTTAGAGTTACTCCCCACGGTCGTTTGTATTAATAGTCGCGTGGCACCATTTTAGCACAGGATCATGTGGAGAGTAAAGAGAGCAGCTTATTACATATAATAAAGGTTGTGGGCGGACTTTACATGCTAAATCTATAAGAACTGTTTAGTAAAGGCAAATTTAGGCACCATATGTTGTGTAAAATATTGACTATATCGAACGTGTCAAGAATGAAAAATTGGACATTATAAGGAGGATGGAAGTCTGTAATATTTCAAACAAAGCAAACGTATTTGTTGTTCAAACGAAAAATATTTAGTTAGAAAAAGACAAAGACAAGTGGTGAATAACACGTAAAGTATCAATATGGACAGAGTATTTTGGATCTGCACCCAGTTTCATACAAGCAGTTATGTGTGGCGTGTACAAAAGTTCTCATAAAATCATTATTACTGTGTAATTAATATTTCATATAAAAAAAATCTTCTGTATATATTTTAAACAATAAGCAATCTATCTTTATAATTATCCATTTTGGCATTTACAATGTGAAATTTTTGTTTAAGAAGATCGTCATGTAGATGTTAACAGAAATAGAAAAAAGAAAAAATAAAATCTGCGCACCCGCAACAATTCTTAAGCAAATTGGGATGAACATCTAAACTTTAAACTTATGTGGCCTTACGACCAAAAGCTGAGAAGTCAAGGTTGACCTTTTTTCTTCCACCATCTGCAATCTTTTTAATATACCTTCCACCCTCTTCCGCGGATCTAGAATTTTTTTCTAGGGTGGGGGTGTACGCCTGAGTCAAATAATTTCCAACCCAGAAATTTCTTGATCAAAAAAAAAAAATAAAAAAAAAAAAATAAAAAAAAAAAATTAAAAAAAAAAAATTAAAAAAAAAAAAACAAAAAACAAAAAAAAAACACAAAAACAAAATAAAAAAAAAAAAACGAGAAAAAAAAACCACAAAAAAAAAAAAAAAACAAACAAAAAATAAAACTCCTCTCAACCGTAAAAAAACGTATTTCTTAACATGGGTCAACGTTTTCAAGAGGGGGGGGGGAGGGTCCAAAGTCGGTTTTTATTTCCTTCAATATTATATATTGACTGGGGTTGAGGGCAACATTGAGTTTGTTAGCCTCCAAGGAATGAAATTTTGTCCGACGTGGAGAGGAGGCCAATATTTTTATCCCGAGGAGGTTAACATAATCAATGTTGCCCGAAAACCAAGTCAATAATTGTTTTGTTATATGAAAAACATATCATTAAAATAATATTTTGTTTTAAATAAAATATCTGCATCTTGAGTGTAGACCTAGTGTTAGCGAATCTTGTATTACTTGGTGACGTTATGTTTTTTGAAAGTATCATTGCGTCACAATAAATCAATCTTCTTATCAGAATCCAAATCAATAAAAATGTGGGAAAACTCTCTTTGTTGCTCAATAGATAAAATTAAAGCTGAACACCCTTCTTAAAAAGAATCTGTCCGCCATATTCGATTGGTTTCTCGCTTTATCAGAGGACCCCTATATAAAGCAGCTTACTTAGTCGCTGTTCAGTGTAATCAGTCGTCATTAGTGTAGACGGAAGTATGCTACACAGCACTCGGTAGTGACCAAAAATAAATGTGTAATTCTTCTAATGCAGGAGAGTAAGATGTACCAAAGAATCTTAATGCAGTTGCACAGGTCAGTGCAGTATACAAACACAAACACAAATACACGTAACTGCAATAAAATGTAAAAAAAAAAAAAAAGGTAATGTAAGATAACCAACACGATCACATGTCGCCATTCCACGCCGATACCCTTGACAATAAAGCAGTCAGGTGTAACGAATGCGAAGGGTGATGATATCGTAGATAGTATTATCGAAAATGGCGTATGCCTATTTACGAGTCATGTTCAGCTTTAAATGACCGGTCAATATTTTTCGGAGGAGCTAATATCAATAACGTTGACTGGTTCTCTATATAGAGAATATAGGGACTATTATTTACCGAATATAAGAAATAAATATAATAACTCTGCAAGTTCAAGTAGGGCTCGAGACCCGACCCTCACTCATATTTCCTTAAGCGGGGGACACAAAATCTCTGCATTAGCTTGTATAGTACATGTAGTTGATATAGGTAAGTCCCTTAGGAGGTCAGTCAGTCAAACATTCACGTCTTTATTGTTTTTTTGTAGATTTCTCTTGGATCAGGAAGTCACACCAATTATCATCTATCATATTTTACTTTATTCCAGTAATTGGTTGGAACCAAAAGGAACTGTTCAGTCCGGCCCAGATATAGACAACTTTTTCCTAATGTGTAATGATGGTACTGTTCATTTACTACAGTACATATTCTTTTAAGTCGATGCATCGACCTAGGACACTTTCCTCCTAAGACACTTGTCTATATTAACAAAAAATTGAACAGGTATCCTGTTAGACCTCCATTGATTTTGTGGCGTAAATTTCCTGAACCAGGATTTGTCTCGATATGTCATCAATCTATCAAGATGGTCATTCTAAGCAGTTTGTGTCCATGATCTCGCAAAATATAGGTCAAGTCATCTAGTTTTCTTGTTAAAAGGTCCTTTCCATTTTGAAGGTAACTTATGGCATGGACCCATCTTTCTGCACTCATCAAACAACCATACATGTTTCCTATGCTCAGTGATCCCTTCTTTGTCTTTAAATCGTAGTATCTTTTCCGATACTCAGAACTTTGTTTCAGATGTTTTCTTGTAATCTCAGTTGCCTTGATCATGCCTTGATCATGTTTGCTTATAAATCTAGAACATACATGTATTTTTGTACCAAATATCAAAGAGCACTCTGTGCTTTTTAATACGAACATATGACTTCATAATGAAATTTGACGTCAAGTAAATGCAATCTTGAGCTGTCATGAGGGGGAGAGTGTCATAAATTCTACACCTTATTTCAAACTGCATGTAAAATGTTAGCATGCTTTTGTATACTAACATTTTACATGATCCAGGCATTCATTCATTTAGAATATTAGTGGTACATTTATTAGAAAAAAAACTACCCAAAAGAAAATCAATTAATGAGCAAAGCAGCATTAAAATTTTATAGTTGAATACTTTTTTCCCATTATTTAT